CTGACTGACGCATCCTTAATAAACTATTCACATTGTTTGTCTCGTGTTAGTGTAGTCAGAATTGGATCTTCATGAAAAGTATTGAGCGTCCAGTAGACATTAAATTCTCATTCACCAGGCTTCTAAGCATGTCGAAGAGGCTAATCACAAACTTTGCTCCCAGGGCTTTTTCCCTCAGAGACTGGGAGGGACCCTGGTAACGAGTTGGCTAATCATGACAAAATCCAACTAAGAGAGTATGAATAGTAGAGAGCTAGTCCCCCATATAGGCCTTTTTCTCAAGACAATCCCTTTCTGGTTATGTTTAAGATATGGTATCTAGTCCATCCGCGGATAATGTTACCCCGTACATATCATTGCGTGGATCCTTTCGTGGAAGATGAAAAATGCGTGTAAAGCAACCTTGTTCCCAAGCACCCTCACGTTAATGGCGAGGAAGGCAAAGGAGAAAGAACCTAGGATCGAGATTGCGTGTAAAGCCGCTAGGGCTGATCACGTGACTAACATTCGCGTCACAGGTTTGGCAATTTCTAGACCCTCGATGGGTTTCTGAAGACGGTACTAATTTAAAAACAACTTGAGAGGGATTCTGTTCGGAAGAAGGCCTGAAAAAAGGGGTACTCTATTACTCTTTCTCCTCTGTCGATTCAAGTTATGTATTTCTTCTTTTCTTCGAGGGTGCATTTAGCCACACGTTCGCAATCCACTTAACACCCTCGATGACGTCACACCCGCCGTGTAAAGACAACCAATCGATGGTGCCCATATGAGTCGCCCCGTCATGCTCGAGGAGATGATTGTACCACATGACTGCACTTCCTTTCCTCGGTTTGATCAGCAAGTTAGCCTCTTGGCATTTTTCGTTCAGGGTCACGGAGTAGTTTCTTACGTAGTAACGGTTGGCATCGTCCGCCACGGGAAAAGCCGTTTCTCCTCCTTTAGCCACGTCGTTCAAGTACAGGATTATAGTTATAAATCTGAAAAATAAGCATTTGTTATCGTATAAATGCTTGTAAAATACGAGAAGTATTTGAAAATTCTTCGAAAATTACGCGAGCCTTTTAAATACACGAATGGAATTAAAATATCACTTGTAGTGGATTCATATGATTACTCATTTAATTGTATCTATAACAAAATTCTCGATCGTGATTGGTTCTCCGCGCGCCTATTTTTCACGTAATAGGCGTGCGATTACAGGTATCCAATTACAACTTTTTGTAATTGGATACCTGTAATTGGACTTTTACTTTCCAAATTTGTTATAAAAATTAGACATTGGACTTCGCGCCGTACAATTTAGGGAGTAATCGCGCTCGTAATTTCAAATCGACGAACGCGAAATTTTAAAATTACTCGCGCGACTACTCGCTAAATTGTACTCCACTCGGTCCTGTTACTATTGCTAATCAAATCCATAACAAAATTCATGAATCTTTTTGGCTAGAGCGGTTTTCAAATCAAAACCAAAGTAATCACTCTAGCCAATCACAAAGGACACAGACAACATGTAGTGAACCAATCAAACCTCGCGAAGAAATTACGTGTAGCTGACGCGAAAAGCACGGGAAAACGTGCGCGAGCGGGTCATGATTGGTTTTGGTCTTACTTCTGATTGGTTGAAAAAGTTGCGTGAGTTTTTTAAAGCAAATGTTGCTAAACCAATAACTTTTCGACACTCAAATTAAAACCGCGCATTTAACAGGCCCAATTAATTTTAACCCATAGAGGACAATGTAGGCGCCATGTTTGTAATAATCAATGGTTATATATGGTCATCAAATTTTGTCCCCGCACATCAATTTGCACTGCAATTCAATACAAGAAATTAAATATATTTGTCTGTTCTCAACCAATCACAATGAGATAATTTTTTCAGTCATAAAATAAGACCCATATCTTGATGGCTCGTTTTCCTCAGGGCAAGAGAGATGGAAAGATATATTCCCTTATTAAAGAAAATCTTCGTCTGTCTCGATCGATTTGATGAGGCAAAAATTGATGCCGCAAATTTATCCCTAACAGGGAGCCGGTTCGTCTACACTGTATTTTACAGGGACTGATGTTCTTTTGTTAATTTTGTTCTTAAGCTCTAACAATTATTTGACAACTTTGTCAGTACACCTATCGAAAATTTCAAAATTTAACTGTGCATACAAACCTGCATAAGTGACAGTCGATGTCATCCTTTCTGATGCAACATTCTTTTTTTGCCGCAGGTCCGTATGATGTGTCGTAATGCGCGTTGTAATGGCCAAACACCGAGTACCGTACAACCTGCAAATCAGAAATAAAATGAAAGTAGTCGACATAATTAATTTCATCATAGATTGCTGGAGCGACTATTTGAGAAAAGATTGGGGATCTTTGCTAGATTGTCAGCGGGATTTCCCGAAGAAATCAACTTCTTAGTACACGGAAGTTTAACACACAGGGGTACATTTAAAAGAGCTACGTGAAGGTTTCCGAAACTTGAAAAGTTTAGCTTATACATTTTTCAAGTTCGTCGTTTGTAATCTGTGTTAATCTTCTTCATCCCTAATCATCTTTGTTCCTTTATGGTTTATTATTATCTCTTTGGTGTTTTCCTACCTTAGTAAACTACTATGTTCAGGTTTCTTTCATTTTAAAGGTAATTTTGTAAGCGGCCAAAATAACTCAAAATGCGCTCCTTTGAGTCTAAAAAAAACGGATTTTCTTTCGCGATGATCTTCTTTTGATTCAACACACCCTCTGAGCAATTGATTTGCATTCAAAATTACGGATCCAAAGACGTCTATTTCAATTTTCCAGACTTCTAATTTGCATGTAAGAAGGAGTACAAGTGTTTTTTTCGTTTCGTTTTTTCTTTCCCTTTTTGTTTTTTTTTTTTGTAAAATTTGTCAGCCATCTTACAACCTATATGCAATATTTGGCCAAAAGATAGCCTTCGTACTTCATTGCAGGCGTAAACGGGGAAGCGTTAGGGAGGCAAAAACGCAGGAAGAACGGGAAGGAACCTTTCTTCCATGCCCCTTTCTTCTATCCCCGCTCGCGCGTTTTGCGCCCGCTACAGACGTCTTTCGCGCGCTGTGACATTGGCGTCACTACCTGAAATGATTAAGTCACGCAACTGTCACCGAAGAGATGGAGAGTATAAAACCTTGCCTGAATTGGTTCACTTTTCTCAATCAACGTTCTTGAGAGCCCTGTTAATTTTACTATTCTCTCCTGCAAACTCTTTATAATCGGCTTGTCCATGAGTAGCGATGTGGACTCACTAAATCGAATAAAATATCGAGGATTGGATTTGAGCTTCTCGATGTGATAAAGAAACTCTACAAAAGAATCCAACGTCGTGTTAGAACACTCTTCGTAAACAACATATCCGTCCGAATCAAGATCCAAGAGTCTGAACATTGGCGAGGCATCTTCTTTTGTGGGATGAATGTGCTTCTCATAATCCATATACTCGACAAATTCTTGTACACTAATTTTCCCGTCGCTGTTGAGATCGTTGCACGACCGTTCGAGGGACTTGCAGAACACCTTTCTCTCGAAAGTCAGATTTTCTCTCATCAACTTCCTTTCAAACTCTCTCCTATCGATACCTTCTCCTCTTCCAAAAATAGTCTTGCTATCTGCGAGGTGCCGTTCTTGCGAGAGTTGGATGAAGAGATCACACTCTTTGTGGCTGAGAAACTCAGGTATCTCAAATAGCAACGGCCGTAAACTGCGCGTCACAACGCGATACGTTTTACTATCAGTAAGGTTCATTTCGCGAACATGACCAACTTTCACTCCTTTCAGTTTCACTAACCAGAACAGCGAGTCCGGTGAGATGTGTTGTGCATCTTCCTTTGGACAAATCCTGGGCTGCAAAAATCCGTTTGCACAGTTTTGAGGTAGTGTTCTAATTCTTGCTCTTTCTTGTTTGGCAGTCGAAGAGCTTAAACCGTGTGGCCGTTGCGAAAGTAAAAGTGTTGCAACCGCTAGGAACAAACGTAGACGGGGGTATTGTGGAAACATTTTTTCCTCTCTTGGAAAACAAACAGACTCGCTGGCTTACATATCATATAGTTGACTTTTGAAATCGTAAGGACAGTGGGTATATGTTGAAATTCGGTGGCAAAGAAAACCTTGCATCGTAGATTAACACAAACAAAGAAAACAGTGATCCTTTATTTTGAGAAATCACAATAACTGGATAGGTCAAGGTTCAGATAGTTGCGTATCATATAAAATCTTTATCGCGCTCCACGCGCTCTCTCGCGGTTTGCGCTGTTGTATCGCGACCTGTACACGTAATCGCGCTGATCGATAGCGCACCAGTATGCGTAGCTGGTGGGATTTTGCGCGCAAGTACTATGTTCCAACCTCGTGCGCGAAATCCCACCATTTACAGGCTCGTAGGAAACTCGTTTTCTCCGCTTATTTTTGCACCCGCGCGCGGCCAGTTTTCAACCTCGCCTTTTCTTTCGTGTGACCCCGTGCGCAACCGGCTAAGGTTTCTCGTAGCTCTCCTAAAAGTTGCGGAACGGTCGAACTTCCCAGTATTCCTCAGCTCAGAGTCTTCTCTAACGCTTCGGCTGAAAGGGTCTGGCCGCAGCTCGGGAAGGGCCAAGAAGGAACTGCCAATGAGAGTGAAGTAGCCGAGGGAGCCTGTTCACAGGCTAAACGCTATATAAAGAACCTCGAAAAGAGGCTGTTTGTATCCGAAAAAAGCCCTTTCTTCGATGTATCTCAGCTACCCTGAAATTGCTTCCGCTTGCATAAAAAAGTAGATAACTGAATTTAGTTTGCCAAGAGAAGAACTTCAAGGAAAATTCACACTTTTCAGGCTTCTCTTTAATGAACTTTTAAAACTGGTGTAGCTTTGCTTGAAGCCACACACTCCCCCATCAAAACATCTAATAAGATATATTTATTTACCCTCGGATTTCAGAGTAGCTTATGCAGCTAATATCTCCGAGCATTTAACCATCGGATGAGAGATAGACCACCACACCAGGAACTACGTCCCCTAAGTCATCCTAAGCTTGTGTAAGTAGCTGTAGTAGCTGCCTTGATATGTAAAAGATTTTGTAGCTAATAGAAATAATAGATGTTTAGGACTTGGACAACTGTATTGGCAGATGGAATAATTAATGTTACAGTGTTCGACAATTTTTTTTTCGCCCTTGCAAACTCTAAAATCACTAGTTTGTGGATGTCTCGATCGATCGCTTGCACGCGATTTTAAAGAATCTTGCAAGTCTTCTTCCAGTTACGATATATGTTCATACTCATTCCATTCTATTTCTCCAGAGGATTACCCCTTAACCAACTTGTGGTGTCTTCATTCAATCTTCTGAAAAATGAGCGAGCCTAAAAAGAAAGAGAAACCAGGGAGACAGATTCAATAACGTGACTCGCGTGGGAGACTCTGTTGAAGTGCTAAATCGGGTGTGTAAAACACACAGCGGCCAAGACCTTTTCGAGCAAAATTTGGCACAGTTCCATTTCGAGGACAACCCAATTTGTTTTCTTTAGGTGGAATGCTCTGGTGAAATGCTCATGTCAAATGGTTTGAAACGTTCCATTTGGAGAGCGAAGTTCACCTCGGAAGGTCCGCTTGCAACCCCACCCCGTTTGACCAAAACTGGACTGATTTTTTGAAAGGCATACCTGTTCTGTGGTTTGCGCGGCAAGGAGCTTTATCGCTATTCCATCACATAATGGTTGATTTAAAACACTCACTGAAACAGTTAAACCATTACTGGCTTCGTCGCCTAAGAATGAACAATGGTAAAGTCATATTACAAAATGGAAATATACAGTATCAAGTATCTCGTCGTTTGTGAAATCACCTGATATCTCGTTAACTTTGTTAAGCTCTGAGAAATATGCCCGGGAAATATGGTCCAATAAACACACAGTTTCCAGGCACCTGAACAAAATGTTTTACAAATCAACTCCGTTACGATGAGCAACTCCATAGATAGCCAAGGAGACATAATTATTGACAACAACAACAAAAATTACAACGATGAATTATATTTTGCCGCGCAGAAAACGAGCCAAAATAGAATATTTTTGACAGTGTTGTTCTACGTGGTCACCACACAAAAAAAAACTTATTCAATGATGAGTAAAATGTTTCTTTTAATTAATTCGTCATTTCTCGATGTTTTGCATGCACAACCTGTGAACGCAAAAATCTATGTACCCAGATGTACCTTGGCAAGTTGTTTTAAAGTTTCACATTGTTTATCAGTTCCTAACCTCATGATCAGATCCAAGAGTTTTGCAATTTTTGCAACGTGAACATTGAATCGAGGAAACGGGATTGATACAAGTACTACACTTATCAGTTGAGTAAGGCGCGACGAAAGTTTTTAATGCGACGAAGGTTTTAACGTGAAAATCGTGTTGGGGCAACTGGCCCCGTTTCCAGTGGAAACTTGTCGGCCTTCGACGACACTGGCAGTAAAGCGCGCGAACTTTGCAGGCGACGATATTGTTACCATTGAAAACTAGGAAAGAATGCCGTGGCAACACCGTAATTTTGAGTTCAAAACTTTGTCACCAAACCTCCGTCCCACTCCTTCTCGTCCTTTTCAGATTAGGTGGAAGAGAAAGTGTTACTGCCACCTATCGTCTTACCTTGGCGAAAGAGTGTTCTCTTTCATTCTTTCCGTGGTGACGACCAAGATTGATGGCGTCTCCATAAACTAAGCTGCCATCGATGTAGACCTTGCTTTCGCTTACAAAGCTAAGAACACAATAAAATTAACATTTTCTATGATTAAGCATAACAGGTGAATGATCATAATGGTTTCCCGGTTTGGTGCATGTGTCACAGTCCCAGTAACATTTGTTCATTCGATTTCATTTCTTATAAAACAATCGAAAATGCTAGTCCATCGCAGGGCTACCCCCAGCATTAATTATAAATTCGCCGGTACCCATTTGTACATAAGGGTGGAGAGAAATACTGTGAGAGTGAAGTGTCTTGTCGAAGAACACAACACCCCGGCCAGGGCTCGAACCTGGACCGCTCGATCCGGGGTCGAGCGCACTAACTATTTGGCCACCGCGCCTCCCGCCTACTTGTGGCCGCAGGAAATCCTTCAGGCCGAATGAGGGAATCGAGCTCAGTGACTAATAAATACGAAAATTCATGAGTTAATCCCTAGGTCTACATGCACTGAGCCGCGGACCGCCACGCAATCTTCCTCCCTCACAATATTTCAGCAGATTTCCGTTGGGGGTGGGGAGATTGGGCGACAAGCCCAAAGACCGTTTACGTATGAGTCTATAAGTAGGCGAGTAAAACAAGAAATTGGAGGACCCAGTGGCGGATCCAGACCTTGAGCTTAGGGAAAGGGGAGGCGGTTTTGTTTTGCTTTCCCTGCCGGCTTTTCTTCCAGCTGCGAAGCGGCGCGATTCTGA